GGAAGTGAATTGAGAGAGTGCAAAGTCAGCCCATCCCCCTCTGCCATGAAGATGTAACATTATAGCAAACCCTAATTTATAACAGTGTCTTCATCTATAACTCTCTGTTGCACACTCACCATGTCAGACACTGTTCTAGGCTCAGGGGATTCAGCACCCAACCATATAGATACCCTCCCTCGTCCCCAGAAATCTCTGCCCTCCCAGGTCTTATATTTTAGCAGGAGCAAAGGTAAGAGAGAGGCATAACAAAAGCCAGATGTGGACAACTAATTGGAGAAAAATAAAGGAGCACAGAGGGCAGGAACATAGGTGACAGGTATGTCTTCATGAAAATACTAACAGGTGCTAATGATGTCACAGAAATGGGATCAGGAAAGCATTTCTCTCCAGTAGAGAAGAACTAGTTTCTTTGTTTCTGTCTGGTGGTGGTGGTGGTTGTTGTTGTTGTGGGGTGCGAAGGGAAGATCTTCATTTAACAGAGACCTGAGCAGCTCTTAGGGTACCTGCTATGCAAATAATTAAGTGTTCAAAGCCAGGCAAACCGTGTGACTCCAGAATGGTAACCACTTCTGGGGGGTGGGGGAGCTGTAACTCCTTGGCAGTGTCCTTCCACATCCCAAAGGCACGGAACCCCAGGAGTTCAAACAGCATATTTAATAAAAGCAATGGCAGTGACAGGGCCTCCCTGGTGGTGTGGGGGCTAAAGTCTCAGCACTATCAAGCTATAGTCAGACACTGCATCACAAGTTCAATCCCCGGCCAGGGAGATGACCCACATGGCATAGCAGACCTCTTCTGTCTCCCCGCTGCTCCCCTCAGCAGTGTATTTCAGTAGATCCACCTGCTCTGCTCCCCACTGTCTCTGGGGACTCCTCTCAACCCCTGTACCTCTGGCCTACACCCCAGCTCTTGTATGTATAAATAAACAAAAATATCTTTTTTAAAAAAAGGCAATGACAGTGACATTAAGCACCATTAAAGAAGTGACATTCTCTGTAGTGTTGCAAATTACACATCAAATAACCATGCAGGGGACCTCTATTTGGTAATGTATGTGGGGAGAAGATGGAAACTTGCAGAAGGTTTAAAAAAAAAAAAAACCTCTAAAAGACTTCTGCTTTGAGCAACAGTATTTTGGGGTTTGTTTTTCTCTTGGGAGAAGGGGTGTTTTCCAGGACCACAGGTCCCTGGGGTGTATCAGCACTGCCAGTGCCACGTGCCTGGCTGGCGTCTCCATCAGCGTCCCCAAGCTCACCTGCTTGACTGGCTGGCCCAGGGCCCAGAGCAGAGCAGCCGCTGCCCCTCCGCTGCTGGTGTGAACGTCCTCGGTCTGCAAATCATCTAAGAGGTGTGGACAAAAGCTTAACGAGAGGACCACCACTGTCGGTGCATCCACACGAACAAACGTGACCAGCGAGGACTGGAGAAAAGGCGCTTTCACAGGTTTAAACTCTTTGCTGCCTCTTCTCTGCAGAAAGGCAAATCTCAGAAACCACCGCCTTGCCACAGGATAAATGTAAATACACTGGACGACGATGTTGGCAGTGAGTGCTGTGGAAGTGTGTGATTATCAAAATAGAGGAGGCGTTCTAACGTTTTTCCGTTTAGCAATACTGAATTTTCCCATCTGTCTGGAAAAAAAAAATCCTCCCCAATGATACTAAGATGGAATTTTTTTTAAAGCAGTCTAAAAGTTTGCAAAAGCTTTCTATCTCAAATTGGACCCATGCTGACATGTAATGTTTTTAAAATGATGTTTCTTCAAACATCTACTCATGGAAAGCCACACACTGTCAGACTCCAGCTAGATGACTACAAGTGACAACAGGGGTTGAGGGGGGCTTTTTTTTAAAAAAATCTTTTTAGCAGAAGCAAAATGGCCACAAAACCTGTGGATGGTGGGAGGACATGGTGATAGGCCTTTCAAGCTGGTGTGAGGAGACCAGGCTGCAATTCTACATAAGTACTTTTGAAAAATGATATATCACCAAAAAGAGTAGAGCAGATAGGGGCTTAAGCTCCAATGCTACAGTCATTTGTTGGGGTTCCCTTTTTATTCTCATTTTAATAAATATTTGTTTTTGTGCCTGATTGTGTACTAACAGATGGTTGCCCAAATGATATAATCTCCAGGCTTCCTTCCAAAACATCCATCCATCCATCCATCCATCCATCCATCCATCCATCCATCCATCCAGCCAGCCAGCCAGCCAGCCAGCCAGCCAGCCAGCCAGCCATGCAACCTTGCCACACAGTTTAAAAATGATTCAATGGGCAGTTCCTTATTGCTATCACTAAAAATATTTACAAGGAAATAGGATTCCATTTGCCCTACAAGAGGGTTGGTTCTGAATTAAGAAAGAGTTTCTGGCTTAAGAAACGAGAGAACAAATCAAGGTGGGAAAATATTTCCCTCCGGCTCCATCTAGATAGTTCTGACACCGGAAAGCAAACCCTCTGGCAAGAAGGCCCCTCGTTGGTCGTTTCCACCATCAGCTGGTCCACGTGTGGCAGAGCCAGCTCTGACTGTCGGCCCATCCTCTTGGGGACCCGGATGCTGCGGACCTGGGCGTGTTTAGGTGGACGGCAGCAGAAGCCACAGGTGCCAAAGAGCTACAATGAAAGAGCCCCACATGGAACACGCCTTTGTTTCCACTACAATAAGCTTCCTTGTGGAGTTCTGATTTCTGCAAACAACCGTGAAATCTCTCCAAAGGCTAACATAATGCAAAAAAAAAAAAAAAAAGCATGAAAAAATAGTGTTTAATAATTTAACATAAAGACTCTTGTCTGTATTTGCAATGCCAGGCAGACAACGCGAGGAAAAGGAACAATATCCCAGCCTGCCTCGAAGACCCTAAGAAGGAAAGGAAAACAGTCCTGGCCGCAGGGAAAAGCCCATCCCCAAGGCACTGTCGCTGGTGTGTGGTCGCGCAGGCCTGGCCACGTGGCTGGGGGCCCTTTCTAGATGGCTAGGCCTTTGGGGAGCTTCTCAAGGACAAGATGTATATGTTGCCGCTTGTTCTGCAACAGGCATTTGGCAAATGCTCAGACCCCCCCACAGCTATGGTCAGAAGCCGGGGTCAGCTCAGGGGGACGACGGAGCCCTCACAGGTTAGGACAGACTCGCTTTCTAGAAACACCAGCGTTTAGACAGCGGACGGAGTGTAGTAAAGGAAATCACACGTAAACTGAGAGTGGACAGCCCGTGGCTAGCCCGCTGGGAGGCAAGCCCCTGGGGAGGCAGGCGCTCCAAGCCCATGGGCTGACGGGAGACGGGAAGGCATATTCTGCGACCCCACTGTGTCTGAAGTACTCTGTAAGCTCTCCTTTGCTCTCAGAGCCTTTTATTATCCCCCCAGGTCCTCCTCTCTGGGTTTCCAGTCTACTCGTTGCTCCGGCCACAACCAGCCGCTGGGTCACAAAGAGCTTGCGCTCGGAACCTGGGGTCTCTGGCTTGGAACCTGGGGTCTCTCCCCTAGTCTTAGGGTCGCTGTAACCAAGAAAGGCACAGCCCAGGCCCTCCTGACAGACAGCTGGCTGCTATTAGTCCCCACGCCTGCCCAACAGCCCTTGTCTAAACCCAACCTTCCCCCAGCCCAGACCTTATGCCCCCCACAAGCTCATGTGATTGCTCCCCCAGAAGACTGAGCAATTTTTGCAAAATCCACCAGACAACACCAAACTGCCTTGTGTTAACCTTACTTTTATCTGACTTTTCCTTCCTTAGTGGAGAACCAATTTCATCCTCTTCCCTGAAGCTCCGAGCCCAGTGGCTTGGCCACGGGAGACTCCACAGCTGCTTGACTTGATTCAAGTCACCAGGGGATGGACCAGAGGGAGTTTGAGTTGGGCCCATTCCAGTTATTTTGGGGGAAATTATTTCAAACTCTCACACTAGGTCATGTAAATCCTCGTCTGTGAGACTGTATATTTCTAACTTTATGTTGTGCCTGTGGTGTTGTAGGAAGATCAGTATTCCCACCAACTTCAAACGCAGCTCCCTGCTTGACGCAGCTCTGTGGGGGCACCGAACAAGAGGAGAAACGGGTTCCACATGTCAGAAGAATCTCATCTAACGAGTCCCCTTTCATAGGGCTTTCCCCTTCATCTGTCCCCTGGAAGAGTTAGTTTGCTGTATGCTAAATCATCGTTTTGTGTGTCTTTGGCAGTGTTTTAAATGATTCCTTTGTTTACGTTACATGGGATGATGAGAAGTTTCTTCAAAATGTGACTCTTCAAAAGTGACCTCCCGGTCAAGGGGCTTGATGTGGAACCCACGATGAGGTTCTCATCCTCCCATGTGGGCAGAAATCCAACCATAGACAGTGTGGGGAGACACCCACTTTCCTTAACAGCCCCTCTTGGCTCTCCAGCCTGGGCTCTAGGGCACGCAGGTGCCCAGTGTGGACAGGGAGGCGGGCGTTGGCCGGAACAATCTGTGCTCTGGGGGCACCAGCCTCTAGAGTGAGAGACACCGACTCTTACAACAACCACACAGCTGAGTGGTTGTTGTGACCCCACCAAAATCCACCTTCGGCACCAGACAAGTTGTGACAAGGTAGCGATGATAAAACACATCAAGTTCCAGGTAAGAATGTCTACGAAAGAGCAGATATGACATCACTTCCCTACACCCAAGTGTTGGGGTAACTTCCTGTTCTTCTCATAGGGGCTACCTGTTGGTCAGATCACCCCTTCCTTCTCCAAACAATCAATGCTTTCACCAGGTACCAGGTGAAACAATCGATGCTTCCAGGTGCCATGACAGTATATATCCTGCACAGGCTTGTGTTCATTATTCTCTCCATGTTCGATGCGGTGCTGCCAGCCCTTAAACCTGACCCTCAGCTCCCTGCATTTGGTAATTACTAGACCCCCAAGGCCATGGTGAGAGGCTGAGTTGGCTCAGGAAGACAACGGATCCCTCACAGGGATAGGACAGACTCACTTTCTAGAAATACCAGTGTTTAGACAGAGCTGGGGAGGAGACTTACCCTCTGTGACCATGACGGCTTCCTCTTGGTCATTCAGGGCATCCTCCTGCAGGCTGAGATCTTCCTGCTCAGCCAAGCCATTGACGGAAGACAGCTGGCCGTTCTTCTGTGGGAGCTGCAGGAAAGAGAACAGCAGTCAGCTTAATCCCAGTCTTCACCCCAAGTTAGAAGCAATACTGTGACTCAGAGAATACAAACCATCTGAATGAGAAAGACAAAGAAATGGAAGGTCGAGAACCAAAAGATTTGTCTTTTATTTATCTCAATGATCCAACTACTAACAAATGGTACAAGAACTACCAACAAGCACATAGGGCTTTGTTGCTGGATAAATGTGCACATCATTCACTCATTCATTCATTCACCTGAACATCATGCATTATTATACACACCCCACCTTCCAGGTCTATCTGAGACGTAATGACGAAGTCAGGTGTGGGCCATTTGGCGTGGCCAAGTGCAGAGGGGCTGAACTCTGCCCACTGCTGGTCTTGGTGGTGGTGGTGGGGTGAATCCTCTCATCCCTGAGGCCCTCAGCGAGGGGGGTGCTTCTGGGAAGGGAGCAGAGCTGAGCGGCCAATTAGGAAGATTTTACGAGGGAGCAAGGTATGGGGCTGCTGTGGAAAGCGGTCACCTTGAAGGTCAGCTGGTCAGCAAGCCTTCAAGCTCCGAGGTGTGGCGCCCCTGACCTCAGCAGCCCGCTGCAGACTCCTGTTGCAGCAGCTCCCACTCCCCACATGGGGGTCACTGGACCTTCTTCCTCTTCCTCCTAGCTCCTCCACTCCCTCTACATTGTGGATTAGAACAAATTGTTGTGTTTTTTTGTTTGTTTTTGCTGCAGCAAAAATTCTTTTGCTTGCCTTTGTGGCTGCGGTGGCCAGGCCTGGAATTGGTGAGAGAGGTTCAGACCCGATGACAGCTTTCAGACCCTTTGCCCAGTAACAGTCCCCACACCCTGAGCTTACAGATACTCTGGAAAGCAAACTTTCACAAAGTATTTCCTGCTTGAAATGTGTCCTTGTGCTTAGAAGCAGGTTCTGCACATTTGAATGGCATAGACATAAGTGACACTGTGGCCTTCACAGGGAAGAGGGAATTTATTTGTTTGAATGAATAATTACTAAAATGCTGCTATGGAAACTGTCATGAAGGAGGAATACATGGAGCAAGTGGGAATAAACAGGGGGCCCTAACTTAAATTGAGGTGTCAGGAGGACTTCTGCAAGGCTTTAAAGGGAAAGCTGCATCTAAGTTCTCAGGCAAGGAGAGAGTAAGAAAGGGGCAGAAGGGGTGCAGAAAGGGGATGCCACGGTTCACAGGCCAGATTATCCAGGCTCAAACGATCCTTGCAAGATATGTAAGACATGCTTCTATTGGTTACTGTTTTTTCTAAAATGGTTATTTGCTGTCGCCCCCATAGGGTGGCCTGTGCAATTGATATCATCAGTTGCAAAAAGAGGTGTACAGACAAGCCCCCATGTCACACCTTTTTTTTTTTTTTTAAAGATTTATCTATTCATTTATACAAGCACTGGGTACAGTCAGCAGCGCGGGAGGGTGAGAGAATTCACCAGAGCCAGAGCGGGGAGCAGAGCAGGCAGAAGGACCGAAGGACACTGCTGAGGGGAGCAGCGGGCGGCAGGAGAGGTCTGTGTGCCATGTGGGACCCTTGCCTGGCGGCCAGGGATCAAACCGGTGCTGCAGAGGCCATGGGCAGCTTGGCAGCCCAGCGATCAACCGCTGCGCCACCAGGGGAGACCCCATGTCACACTTTTAGTCCTAAGACTATAGGTAGAGTTTTATTTATTTATTTATTTTAAAAGTTTTTTTTTTTTTTTTTTTTTAAAGATTTATTTATTTATTTATACAAGCACTGGGTACAGTCAGAAGTGCGGGAGGGTGAGAGAATCCACCAGAGCCAGAGCGGGGAGCAGAGCAGGCAGAAGGACCGAAGGACACTGCTGAGGGGAGCAGAGGGTGGCAGGAGAGGTCTGCGCGCCATGTGGGACCCTCCTCTGGTGGCCGGGGAGCAGCCGGGGATCGAACTGGCATGGCAGAGGCTGTGGGCAGCTTCACAACCCAGCGCTCAACCGCTGCGCCACTGGGGAGGCCCTAGGTAAAGAGTTTTAAACCAAAGAAAAACAGCACAATACCCTTAGGAACCTAAAGATTTCCACAGAGCTCTATCTTTCATTATCCATTTCTCATTTGTCTTAAAACCCACTGAGGCAGGTGCTAGTATTTCCATTTTACAGATGAGGATACAGCGTCTCAAGGCCACTCCAGCGGGTGGGGTTGGCTGAGCTCAGTCATGGCGGCACCCTGGCCCCGAGGTCAGGACTCAGCACCGACTCCTTCCAGGGTTTCCCCACGACCCTGTGAACTGCTGAAGGTCCTGGTACTATGCAAATTAAAGAAATCATTTAAAAAGTATCCCACAGTACCCAGTTCTGCCCACTCCCAAGAAACCTCAAAGCTAACATTCCATTCTGCCTCATTCCATGCTGCTTCCCAGCCAAAGGGGCGTGTGGACCAAACCACTGACTCGGGTCAGAGTCAGGGAGGGTGGCAGTTTGAAGCAGTTGGTCCAGAAGCCTTGAAATGTGCTAAATTGATGTCACCTGGCCATGGCCTGTTCCCAGCAAAGCTGCCCTTGAGCTGCAAGAGCTGTCTCCTGAAATAACAGCACCGTATTTTAATACTTACACTCCAGCTGGAACAGCTGGCTTCAAAATGCCCATGCTGAGCCTGGTTATGAGACCGACTACTCAGATTACATTTCTACTTAAAGTCTTCTCTTACCCAAATATGAAAGATGGGAATTTTAAATGAAACCTAAAGACAAAGGCAAGAAGGGGGGAGGGGAAGACCTTCACAACACTGTCAGCAAAGCTATCAGGGTCGAGGGGGATTCAGAACTAGTATTTCAACTATGTAGTCACTAACTGTGGACACAGCTTCGACCTACACTTGATCAGTTACAGAACACGAACTAGGGAAGGAAAGCAGGAACCCAGGAATGTGGGCTTCATCGTAACCAACGAATTGTCAACCTAAAAACGTTGGCATATGCACCTCAATATGGCGAACTAATCGTGGAACAGAAGCAAGCAAGTCATTCCGATACCTCAATTTCGGTGCAATAAGCTCGTGCCCCAAGCTGGAAACCAGAACTCTGCAGCCCAGCAGAGTTGAGTTCTCTGGACTTTCTATCACAATGAAAAAAAAATTCTCATCATTCTTTGTGAATTGTCCAGGATATTTAATTGGAGCCCAATTGAGTATCTTTTTTTTTTTTTTTTTTTTTGTGGGACCCTCACCGGGGATCGAACTGGCCAGCACTCAACCCCTGCGCCACTAGGGGAGGCCCCCAATTGAGTATCTTTAAACATGAAGGGTCTACAAGGGCACAGACACACACTTTCATCAACTTTTTTTAAAAAGTCACACATATATGATAAAATACATTAGAAGGTAGAAAGTGAGCCTTAAATACTGAGATCACCCTCAGGGGACACAGCACAACTAAGTCTACTTCAAAAAGGCACTGGGTGAACGACTTTTCGTGACAGTTAAGTTGAAACTGAGTTTTGAGACTATTTCGTTCTATGCATAGCTTGGGTCCGACAAGCATGCCCAACCTCTGACCTCGAGGTGGTATCTCAGGTGAGTGTTCGGAGCCTCTGCACACAAAAACGGAACTTCATTCCTAGCCCTCTTCAGACATTTCCACCATTCTGTCCTTTGACTCAAAGATGCTTTTGCAAAATCTCACACATTCTTGTACATGGGCAATTCACCGTTTGGCCATGCAACCCACCCCCCCCCAAAAAAAAAAAAAAAAACCCAGTGGTCTTATTTTCCTTTCCTCCCATGCCCAACCACCTAAATAATTTGTACCATTATTAGAGTCCAGATTAAGTTATCAGTTAAATTCGAGTCACCTTAAATGGTAAGAAACCCAACCCAGTGTTAATGTTTAAGTCCTTTCTGTCTCTTTCGATGTGTATCTATGTGCACAGGCATTCTTAAAACAAAAATAGTGACTGCATGCTGCTTTATAACCTGGTTGTTTCATTCTTCGTGGATGCCTTTCTTTATCAAAAACACTTATCTTGTTCATCCTAAGTCAGTCTCTCTTTTCTCTGTAACTCAGATGCCCGTGGCGGACAAAGATTTTATCAGCTATGCACACACAGACCCTAAAAGATACATCTCATTGACAGGGTGGGGGGGTTTGGGGGGAGGAACTGTCAAACCGTTGGGGGGGAATGCCGTCTAGTTCAGGGGTAAAGCAGTGCTGGGACTCAGGCTTCCTAACAAGAAGGAAGGAAATCTATCTCACTCTGAAGCCTTCTGCCTTCTCACAAAGCTCGACCCATCTGTCCCATTCTTAATTTTATGAATCAGATATTTCTTCTGAGATGAGCACTAGACCTGAAAGACATGTTCTCTTTGCACTTGAACTTAGTAAGCACCAGAAAACCCCTTTTCCCACTAGATTTGAGCTTCAAAAAGCATAAACGCCTCCTTTGAGCAAATCAAAACCCTAAATGTTTTCAAGCTTATATACTTTGAGTGGGTCAGCCAGAGTTTATTCCTGTAAAGTATTACCACATTGCAACTAAACAAGCTCAGAAAAGGAAAAAAAAATTCTCCAGTGCTTCCAGCAACAGTGCTTTCTTCTCATTCCTGCAAGAACAGCTAACAACATCCAGAATGGTAGCCAAGGGCCTCCCTGGTGGCGCAGCAGTTGAGCGCTGGACTGCAAAGCTGCCCACTGCCTCTATAGCGCCGGTTCAATCCCCGACTGCTGGGTGAGGGTCCGGCACATGGCACGCAGACCTCTCCTGCTGCCCGCTGCTCCCCTCAGCAGTGTACTTCGTCAGTCTGCCTGTTCTGCTCCGCGCTCTGGCTCTGGTGAATCCTCTCACCCTCCCGCGCTTCTGACTGTACCCAGTGCTTGCATAAATAAATAAATAAATAAATCTTAAATAAATAAATAAATAAATAAATAAATAAATAAATAAATAAATAAATAAATAAATAAAAACAAAATGGTAGCCAAGACATTGTGGAAACACCACCAGGCTTGAGTCCTTTTCACTGCAAGGC